CCATCTAATTTGCTTCTCACAGTCCTGGACTAGGCATTATGCCTTTTCTGTAAATGAAGAGACAGAAATTCAAGGAGCATTAGTGACTTGCTCAAAGCCACACAGCTAATGAGGAATAAGGTTCAGCATGAGCCCAGATTCTAACCCCCCAGAGCAATGAAGTTCCCATTTCTGCTGCCCCTGGGACCCAGCCCCCCTTCAGGTCGATAGAAGTCACAGAAAGGCCACCAGCTCTGGGCTCTGACAGGCCCCAGTGTGCCACCATGTGCATCCCTTAACTTCTCTGAGTTGGCTTCCTCAACCATAAAGCAGATCAAAATACCCGCCATCTAGAGTTGTGGGAAGATGCAGTAAGTAATATATGGAAAGTGCATCTGGCATTATGTGGCAGGAGACAGGGTGTTGTCATCGCTGCCCCACGTGTCTCCTTGGCAGAAAAGAGAAAAAGGAAGGAGTTGCTCATCCCCAGACCCTGCTCTCGGGAACTATCCTCAGGAACTGCCACTCTTCTGACCTACTCTACACAGGATCTGCAAAGACACGTTCATTACGTTTTCTGAAAATATTTCATTTATAAAAAGCTTCTTAACTGTGTGAACTGTGAGGACATTGTACTGAGTGAAATAAACTAGCCACAAAAAGACAAATATGGTAGCCCTAGCTGGTTTGGCTCAGTGGATAGAACATCGGCCTGTGGACTGAAGGGTCCCAGGTTGGATTCCAGTCAAAGGCATATGCCTGTTGCGGGCTCAATCCCCAGTGGGGGGTGTTCAGGAGGCAGCCAATCAATGATTCTCTCTCATCATTGATGTTTCTATCTCTCTCTCCCTCTCCCTTTCTCTATGAAATAAATGAAAATATATTAAAAAGAAAAAAAGAGACAAATACTGTAGATTTTATTCATATGAGGTTTCTAAAGTAGTCACCGTCATAGTGACAGAGAGTAGAATGGTGGTTGCCAGGGCTTGGAAGGGGAACAGGATGCTGCTTAATGGCTTTCTCTAGTCAGTTGTTTTTTTTTTTTTTAATTTATTTATTGATTTTAGAGAGAGGGGTAGGGAGAGAGAGAGACAGAGACAGAGACAGATATCGATTTGTTGTTCCACTTATTTAAGCATTCATTGAATTAATTGGTTGATTCTTGTATGTGCCCTGATTGAAGATCAAACCCACAACCTTGGCATATCGGAACAATGTTCTAACCAACTGAGCTACCCAGCCAGGGCCCAGAGCTTCAGTTTTACAAGATGTAAAGAGTTCTGAAGATGGATGATGGTGGTGGCTGCACAACAATATAAATGTACTTAATGCTACTAAACTGTACACTTTAAAATGGTTAAGATGATAAGTTTTATGTTATTTGTATTTAATCACAATTGAAAAATTTTTTTCTAGAAAAAATACCACCTCTGAGCCCTGCACATTTTGCTTAGGTTTCTGCAGGGGCAGTGGGAACATTTTTTCTATATGGTTACAGTTGGGTTACCTTATAACAGAGACTCAGTTAGTATTTAAGGCACAAAGTCACCCTGGAAAACCCCTGTGTGGCCCACAGAGTAGGTGAGAATAGGCTAGCACTGCCGATTTTTCTTGTAGAATTGGAACAAACACTGTTACTTCGAGCATCAAATGAAATAGCTGATTTATGTTCAGGGGTCATAATAAAATATATATTCCGAGAGACTCCCAGGGTGGGACGCACACATTATGAGGGACCCTCAGAGCCCAGACCTGCAGATTCCCCACCCCTCCTCATGTTGGGACACAAACCAGCAGAATGGGCAGTCACCAGCCCTACTGGATGTGTGATTTTTCTTTCTCTTCTGCAGAGTTGAATGGGTTCATGAGGTGGCTCCAGTGAGGTGGCCTTTGTCTGGTCAAAGGGAACTGAGAATGTGCCTTACTATCACCCTCTGACCAGCTAATTCTAATGGGTTTTCACAAGTTGCTCTAACTCATTGCTCTGGCCTTTGACCAGATCTATTGGTCATAGAAAAATGGCCCATTACCCCCACCAGGTACCCACTGCAAGCCACATCGCATCTCAGACACCTGCTCAACCTGAAAGTCTCCAACTTTAAAGGACCTTTTCAGACCAAAGATCCAATTCCTGAGGCCAAAGTTCAAATCGAAATTATAGGGTTCCTAGCTTTTCACAGATTTCTCTTCAAATTATAAAATACCTAAAAAGAGAAGTGGTAGAGTAAAACTCTCAGAAGACTTTATCAAATTAAACAGTGGGTGTGAGCCAGCCTTGTCTTTCAGACAAATTTGAACACTGTGTCCTTCAAAAGGTTTAGGCAGCACCTAGCCCCGTTCCAGGCATGGCTAAGGCCTCCAAATGAGTAAATGACCAGCTACCCTGCGGCACACCTGCCTTCATTAGTTTGGTGTTCGTCTAGAGCAGAGGTTCTCAACCTTCCTAATGCCGCGACCCTTTAATACAGTTCTTCATGTTGTGGTGACCCCCAACCATAAAATTATTTTCGTTGCTACTTCATAACTGTAATTTTGCTACTGTTATGAATCATAATGTAAATATCTGATATGCAGGATATATTTTCATTGTTACAAATTGAACATAATTAAAGCATGGTGATTGACCACAAAAACAATATGTAATTATATATGTGTTTTCTGATGGTCTTAGGCGACCCCTGTGAAAAGGTCGTTCGACCCCCAAAGGGGTCGCAACCCACAGGTTGAGAACCGCTGGTCTAGAGCAATAGATTCTGATTGGCAATAAATTTAGGTTGTTATGCCTAAGGATTGAGAAGTACGCTACTTAAGTTAAGGCTGTAAACTTAAATCCTGATTCTGCCATTAAATACTTTGCTATCCCCAAGCAAGACTTTCTATCTTGATTTCCCTCATGTATAAAATTGGAAGAGATCTGTAGAAGTACATAGAAATGAATGAAAGAGAGAAAAAACAAATGCTTACTGGTGAAGTCGCTTATTTCTTACCCTGCAATGCACGTGATTCCAAATCTGAACAGGCAGAAGTGAGAACATTTGGATTTATTTACATAACCAGGGGGAGGGTCCCTCTGGGATCTCACAGTTGATTTTTCTAAATCAGTTTGGCTCCAAGCGCTGGACAAACGACACAGCTGAGACACAAAACCATTAAAAAGTACCCCCTTGCGAACACAGGCAGAGTAAAGGGTGAGAAGGAAGCAGGTGCAGCTGGTGACCTTGTGACAGTGTCGCTAATGGAAAACGCTCCGCACTAGGACCCTCGAGAGATCCCTCAGCTCCAGTCCCACCTCTGCCACCGCACAGCTGTGAGGCCGAGCAATCACGGGAGCTCCCCCGGATTTGTGAAATACTCAGACTGCCCTGGGGGAACCTCGGGGCTGGCTGTGCGGCTCCGACCAGGTTAACATGTAGATGAACGATGGAAACCGTACATGTTAGACCAGGTGCGGAGTTACTATCACACCCCTTCCTAATGGGAAACACTGAGGCACTGGAAATATCAGGAGCCTCCTACGAGGTCCCTGAGCACAGAACTCACTCCACACCCCCACGCTCCGACTCTACCCGAAGAGGCACAGGACTTAGTTGCCAGTAGCGTGGGTTCCTGAGTCTCATTGTCTGAGTTCCTAATCCCAGCTCTGCCATGTGTGTGCTTTGGGACTTGACACAGTGACCTACTTGGCTGAGCCTCTGCCTCTTCACATATAAATTGTGGAGATGACGGTGAAATTACTTGATGGAATTGTAGAAGATTGACTGTTGCATATTAATAAACCCTGTTATGGACTGAATGTCTGTGTCTCCCCCCACCTCCCCAAATTTACAGGTTGAAGCCCCAATCCCCAATATGATGGTATGTGAGGGTGAGACCTTTGGGAGGTGATTAGATTTCGAGGTCATGAGGGTGGGTCCCCATGACAGGATTAGTGTCCTTATAAAAAGAGAAAGAGAGATCTTTCTCTCCATCACGTGAGGACACAGTGAGAAAGTGTCCATATGCAGGCCAGGAAGAGGGTCCTCACTAGGAACTGAATCAGTTCCCAACTTGATCTTGGACTTCCTGACCTCTGGAGCTGTGAGAAATTAATGTCTGTTGTTTAAGCCCCCCAGTCTATGGTATTTTGTATGGCTGGCTAATACATACCCAAAGAGCTTAGAGCAGTATCTGGCTTATAGGAAAATATTCAATAAATATTAGCATATATTTATGTTTGGCTCTTTTGAAACCTTATTAAGAAATATTGCAAGCATTCTAAAATGTTTAAAGTATAATAGAGCCCTAGCCAGTTGGCTGGGTTAGTTGGAGCATCTTCCCATACATAAAAGGTTGTGGGTTCGATTTCTGGTCAGGGCACATAACTAGGTTGTGGGTTTGATCTCTGGTCGGGGTGAGTACAGGAAGCAACCGATAGATGTTTCTCTCTCACATCCATGTTTCTCTCCCTCTCTGTCTAAAAGATAAAAATAAATCAATAAACTTATCCTCAGGTGTGGATAAAAAAATTTTTTTAAAGAAGAATATACCCACCACCCGACATAAGATATAAAACATTACCAATACAAGTGGAAGCCCCTGTACAACTTCTCTAATCACATTCCCTCCTTCCTGCCCAGAGGTGACCATGCTCCTGAATTTGGTATTTATCACTTCCATTAATTTCTTTATACGCTTACTCCATCGGTACGTATCTGTAACCAATGAGACTGGGCTGGAAATACACCAGAACTGACATGTCCTTCTTCCAAAAGGATTTAGACAGGGTCTAGCATAGCACAAAGTGTTGTTTGGCAAGCACATTCTCATTTCTCACCTCCCTATGTTTGCCTTTTCACTTCCCTGAGCTGGGAACGTGTTACTATCTCCAAGTGGACCAATTGCTGAAACAAACCATTAGTTAAGTCTCCTGTTAGCAGGTCTGTGCTTGTCAGAGACTGTGGAGCTGCAGCCTTCCCCCTTCCTCGCTTCCCTTCATCCCTGCCCCTTCCAGCTCAGCCCTGACGCCCCCTCCTCCCTTCCAGACGGAGATGCGGCTGCAGGACCAGCAGCTGGCCAGACAGCTCATGCGCCTGCGCAGTGACATCAACAAGCTGAAGATAGAGCAGACCTGCGACCTCCACAGGCGGATGCTCAACGACGCCACCTATGAGCTGGAGGAGCGCGATGAGCTGTCAGACCTTTTCTGCGACTCCCCGCTGGCCTCCTCCTTCAGTCTCTCCACGCCACTCAAGCTCATTGGAGTCACCAAGATGAACATAAACTCCCGGAGGTTCTCCCTCTGCTGAGCAGCCCTACAACAGGGCAGAGGAGCCAGAACAGAGGGTTTGGGAAGCGGAGAGGGGGCGTAGGGAGAAGGGAAGTGAGGCTGAGATACCTCAAGTAGGTCTCCCCAGAGGCACAGCTTCCCTGAGACTGGTGAGCCGTGGACCCCAGGGCCTGTCCGCAGGGGATCTCCCTGGGGCCCTAGCTTTGGAACCCAACATCCCCATGACTGGCTCTCACTTAATACCCAAAGAGTCCTGCAGAAGGGCCACTCCATCCCGATGATCAACGAGACTTGGGTTTCCAGCATGACACCTCTCAGTCCTCCCCTCAGTGATCCATGTTCCTGCTTCCTGGAATCACTGGTGCTATGAGAACTGGGATCCCAAAGTGGGGGTGAAGGAGGTGGGCAAAACAGTGATTATTACAGAAGGCTTCCCCACGGGCATGGGCTCCCAGGCAGAGGTGATTAGACATATCAGATGTGCCCATCTCGCTGTGGCTGTCCTCTAAGTACTGGCTCGAATTCACCCTAAGTGGGTGACTCAGCAACCCCAACAGGGACCCACCAGGAAAGGAAAACCAAAAGGGTACAATGTAAATTGTACCCAACGGGTGCTGGGACACACCAGTCTAGCTTGGCTGGAGCAAGCCTAGATGCCCTCTGTTGCCTGCCTGGCCACTTGTACAAGTGCCAACTTCCAAAGAGTCCCTTTGCCATCACGCCATACCCTGGTGGAGTGCCTAGGAGACTGCTGGTGACAGAACCAGGCAGGTCTGTCCATGGATTTCCCATAACTGAATTTTCCCTGGGCCCAGCAGTGGCCTCCTGGTGGGTTCTGCCAGTGTCACCTACGTCACCTTCTTGCCCACCCAGAGAAACTGGAGGGAGCCCAGTCGCTCACCCTGAGCTCCTCTGAGATTCTGTGCCTGACTTAAATGACTAATTTTAGTGGAATCAGACTGTTACTAATCTGTCACTAACCTGTTAATAACTGTTTGATTTTTGTCCAAATGGCAAAGCCAGTTAGGTAGGTCAAACACAGAGGTTCAGGGTTTTGCATGAGGAACGCAAAGGTGAGGACTGAGACCTGAACAGGTTAGGAAAGTTAGCCCGGTAGAGTGCCATGTGTCAGGTGCTCCCCAGCAGGCGGGAATTTTTAACCTTGGATGCCACCTAATCGAGGCCTCTCATTCACAAAGTAGTAAAGTGAAGCCAGGGAAGGAGAAAATGACTTCCCTCAGGTGACGGAGCTCATGAGTGGCTATACCACATTGATGTGTTAAATCATTATCGATAATGCCTAGACAGATAATGTATCAATGAACTTGAACTCCAAAGATGGTCCTAAATGCTTTGCCAAACATACAAACTGCCAACCCCTCTACTCTCCACCTCACTCAGCCCTCACATGCACCTCCCACTGTGCAATTCAGAATCTTTGGGTCAAACTCAGAGCAATGTCTGGACAGCAGACCCACAGAACACATATTACCAATCACAAATTCATAGTCGAAGTAAGATGTCCTGCTGCCCTGACGTTCATGTTTTGTCTTCCTGTGTAATCTCATTGGGGCACACACACACACACACACACACACACACACACACACACACACACCAGGACCCATATTAGGAAAAGGTTGCTTTTCTTTTGTGGCCAGGAGTAGGAAGATGCCAATGAATGGTCCCTAGTTGGACAGAAAAGAAGGTTGGTCTTGTGATTTCAAAGAGCCAGAGGGTTTATGCTTCCTTCAGAGAAGTTGTAGCCACATAGCTGGATTTGTTTTGGCCCAACTCTGAGCAGTGACAAAAGTCTGAAGCCCAGAGGACTGGTCTATGGCGACCTCGGAGGAAGGCCATCCACCCCTCCCCCTCCCCGAGGCAGGAAACGGGGGAGATTTTCTCCACTCGGTGATAACCTCTCCCCAGGAATACGTCCAAGCACTGCCAAGTCCTGCAGAGGCCTTCCTGCCAGGCTTCTCCCAGACGAGTCCTGAGGTCATGGGTGTCAGGAGGGCCTACGCACACCCACCACACACCCTACAGAGACACACACATACACCTACTCACACAGGAGAGCTCATTCCATATTCTAAAAAATAAGAGCCAAACTGATTTTTTTTTCTTTCTAGAAATCAGTCATCACCGTAACTGAGAAAGCTGGAATCAACTGAAGTTGAAGGATGTAGTTGAATTTCATCAACCCAATTGAATCAGAATCAACTGGGCAATTTAGTTGCTGAGCCTACTTTTTTTTGTTGTTTCAGGAGAGGAAACTGCGCTCAAGACACACTTTTTTGATAGGTTAGTTATTTCAGCTATTTTGTTTAGTTCATCCCAAGAGAACTTAATATTTGGGAATAAGGAAGGAGAAAGAAGAGAGGATCAGAGAAGAGAGGTGGAGGGGAAAAGACTGGTGTGTTTTCTTGTTGTCCAGTGTCTGTGACTTCCCTTACTTCCACAGTGAACACAAATAACTAACCAAGTCCATTCAGCTTTGTGAAGTCCCTGCCTCGTGTGGGTCCATAGATGCCAGCTCCCAGAGCAACCTTCTCGCTTACCATGTGTATACAATACTGTTTGCAGTTTTATTCATTATCTACCTATCTCTTTGCCACCCCCAAGGACCCCTGGGTGTAAACTCGAAGTCTCCATTGACACTTCGTGTGCGGTAACATCTGATGCCTTCATGGGCTCAGCAGTGATCACAGAGGCCTGGAGAGCCTGGGCAGGCTTGAGACGGCCTGACCCAGCCCGGGCCTCCTCCTTGTAGCAATACCAAGTGCTATTACATAATTGATGGACAATTTATAATTTTATTTTTTACAATTATTTGTTTCTATATTGCTGTTAGAAAAAGTGAAATAAAAATATTTCAAAAGAAGATGTATATTGTTTCTGTTAAAGGATAGAGTCAAACACTTAATTGGGTCAAACACTTAATTGAGAAGAGAAAGAGAGAGAAAGAGAGAGAGATAAGAAGAAGAAGAAGAGGAAGTAGAAGGAAGGGGAGGGGGAGGGGGAGGAGGAGGAGGAGGAGGAGAAGGAGAAGGAGAAGGAGGAGAAGGAGAAGGAGAAGGAGAAGGAGAAGAAAATTTGAACAATCAACCATTGAATGGAGAAAAAGATTCACTATAATCCCTCTTTTCCTCTATGGTGCCTTCCCCAAGGGACTGCTTCTTGGTGGTTGCAGCCACCGGCTTCCCAGTATGGGCTAAGTGAGCTCAAGGGTTGGAATTAGGAGATGCAGTCGTTATCCTGAATTTCACCAAGGCCAGCACCATGCTCTCACACAGTGGTCCCTTCCAGAGGTGACTCTGATTGAATCCAGAGTAACTGGGTCAGATTATAGCAATGCCAGAACATGCAACCACAGGACATGCATTTCAAATCACAATTCCATCTTTGAAGTGTGGAGCTTAGCTTTGCCATGCTCTGAGAACTGTGCCTTAAACTTTTTCAACCTCTTAAAGCAGCAGTCCTCAAAATTAAGCGTGCATGAGGATCGCCCGGAGCACCCCTTGCAAATGCATATTGCCAGGAAAATTCCTGGGCTCCTCTGCAGGGTTGGGAGCTCCAATATGGGGCCTAGGAACCTGTTTTCAACAAACGCCCCAGGAGACTGGCACAGGGGGTGCCACAGGCCTTGGAGAAACCTTCCAAAGGATGGAGTGGGCAAGCGGAGATATGTTTGAATCACTCCCTATCTCAGGGGTCTCAGGAGAGGCCTAAGTCAGAGGGTCCGAACAGGTGTTAGTACTCCCATTTTGTGGAAAGAACAGCCCAAAAGAAGCTGTCTGCAGTTCCCTGAGATTGATCCCCTGCCTACAACATGGGGGACTAGATCCGTTTCCCGCAAAGAGCGCACAGGATGGGTTGGGAGCTGAGGGGCAGCGTGGGCACTTGGAAATCCGGCATCACCATTGGCCATGTGGTTCAGAGGGCACTCAGAAGCCATTGGGCCTTTCCACCCCTCCGGATGGGACCACACGTGCACCTTTTTAACTCTAATTTGGCGTCCAAATAAATTAAGCAATTCTTAAGTGCCTCAGAGAAGATAAAATGTGATGACAATGTGGGAGGGGCGGCTTTTCCCACGTGGTCAGGAAAGGCTTTGCTGAGAAGGTGCTGTTTCAGCTGCAAAGGCCACCATGCAAAGGTGAGGAGAGAGAGGGTTCTGGGTAGAAAACAGGGAGCCGGACCCTGAGGCAGGAAGGAGCGTGGTCTGCGGTACAGCTGGGGTACAGGCTGTGCTGGGAGGTGAGCGGCCACGCCTGGCAGGCCACATCAGCCTTGTGTTCTGAGTGAGGAGTCAGGGTTTTATTTGGGTTGTGTGAGAAGTAATTTGAGGTTTTTGAGCAGGGAGGTGCTATACAATCTGATTTAAATGTTAGCAAGATCTACGCAGAACGTAAGGGGAGTGGGACAGAGGTGGAGTCCAGCAGAAGAATTAGGAGACGGTTACAGTGGACATGACGGCGACAGGGACTCAGATAGCAGCTGTGGAGGGGTGACATGTGGTCTCATTCGGGATTTACTTGGGGACATGCTTTGGGGGTAAAGCCACCAGGACACACTGCTAGCTTGGTGTGGAATGTGAAGGAAACAGAGGAATTAACCACAGCCCTCTAGCCATTTACTGAGATGGGGAAAGTTTGAGGGGACCATGACTGCAGGTAGATGGGCGGCATGGATAGTTCTGTTTCAGTCGCGTTATATTGAAATGTCAATTAGACATCCAAGTGGGGAGGGAGCAGGTGGTGATATAAGGAGGATTTACTTGGGGACATGCTTTGGGGGTAAAGCCACCAGGACACTGCTAGCTTGGTGTGGAATGTGAAGGAAACAGAGGAATTAACGACAGCCCTCTGGCCATTTACTGAGATGGGGAAAGTTTGAGGGGACCATGACTACGGGTAGATGGGCGGCATGGATAGTTCTGTTTCAGTCGCGTTATATTGAAATGTCAATTAGACATCCAAGTGGGGAGGGAGCAGGTGGTGATATAAGGACTTGGACTTCAGGGGAAGGCCAACATTGGAGACAAACCTTTGGGAATCTGGACTTGGATGTCTGGATACTATTAAAAGCACCCTACTTGGATAAACTCTAAAGAGAGAATGTAGACATAAGAAAAGGGGGGCTGAGAACAGCATCTCGGGGCCTTCCTAGAGTCCTGATGGAGAAGGAGGAGCAGGCTGGAGGCTGACAACAGCTCACCAAGTAGAAGGAAACTGAGATGGGCCTTAAAGAAGACGATGTTTCAATAAGGAGAGTGTCATCAATATCAAATGCTGCTGAGAAATTGAGGAAGAATTGGACAATAAACAGAGGTTTCAGCAAGATGGAGATCTTTAGCCATTTATTACAGTGTGATAGGCACTTCAGTGCAGGGGTAAGCACAAAGTCCGGTTGTGTGGGTTGAGGAGAGGAAGAAGTGGGGGCCGAGAAGAGAGACAGTGTTTCAAGGCAGTTTGCTACACAAGGAGCAGAAACTAGAAGCTGGGCAAAGACACACAGCCAGGACAACGATTTTTGGGTTGTTCTTTTGTAACAATCTATAATCAAATAAAAGTCTAAAATAGTACCATTGTTTATTAACAATGCATAACAATAAAAGTGTGCAATAAGAGTGTTGGCATCTGAGATCTGTCAGTGGGAATAATCTGTCAGAGAGGGAGAAATTGATGGTGCACAAGAGAGAAGGTAATTACAGCAGTGAAGTTCTTTTTTCTTTAACCTTATTTTTCAATTACAGTTTACAGTCCATATTATTTTGTATAGTTTCAGGTATACAGCATAGTGGTTAGATAGTCCTATACTTTACAAAGTGTTCCCCTTGATATTTCCGCACCCACCTGGCACCACAGAGTTATCACAATGTCATTGACTGTATTCCCTATAGTCACATCCCCATGACTGTTTTGTAACTGCCAATCTGTACTTCTTAATCCCTTCACCTCTTCACCCATTCCCCAAGCCCCTCCCCTCTGGCAACCAGCAGTGACGTCCTTAAGGAGGAGAGAAGGCAGGCCATGGAGTATGAGTAGGAGGTTGAGCCGGGAGGAGCAAGAATGCTTGTCCCGCTGTAGCAGGAGGGAAGGCAGGGCCTGGGTGCAGATGCTTGGACTAGGGAAACCTCTGCTGGGAAGAGGAGGAGAGTCCCACTGGATCCTTCTTTTTTGTCGTCGTTGTTGTTGTTGTTAATTCCTTTTTTTTAATTTTTATTTATTTATTTAAATAATTATTTATTGTTGAAAGTATTACATATGTCCCTCTTCCCCCCACTCATTGGCCCCTCAGCCTGCCCCCACCACAAGCCCTCACCATCCCATATATGCAGGGCCTCATCTGTGCATTGGATCCTTCTTATGTTCTCTGTGAAATGGGAAAGTGACTTGGAGCAGATGAAATGTCAGAGGATCGAGGAGAAAGAAGTTTGAAATAATTATCTCAGAAAATGAATACGTTAATTTCTTAGAGAAG